TTCTGCAGCTGCGGCTATACTTATGAAACGGATCTTATGGCGGAAACAAGGCTGTGGCTACCCCTCGAAATCCAAGTAGAAAGTGTAGCGCAAGTTGAAGCCATTCAGCGCTTATACGGCTCCAAGCGGTCGGTGCCCCTTCAAGGGGCGTGGAGACAAGAAGTTACTTCGGACAAACCTCGTCCAGAAACTTGAGATGAACCCCAAGAATCTGTAAAAATTTACTTTTGAGCGGGAACTTGCTGACCAGTGAGCATGCCTTGCGAAGAAGCTAAGTAGAGGAAGCCTCAGTGGAGTAAAGATTCTGAGACGTTTAGCTCCGCCTTCGATATACAACTTGAAATTCCGTCGATCAAATGAACTTACCAACTGCCCGAACAGCCTTCGACATTGCCCAATGCATGAGGATCGCAGGAATATGGGTTACTCCCCCCTATTTTACCCGGCCCTGCCGAACTTTCCCCCCTCAACTCCGATTGCCTACTTTTGTGCTCGTTATTCCCTCCCCTTTGCAACTGAGGCAGAAAAACACGAAACCGGCTAAAGTTAGGCATTCATTAGACCTCGAAGAAAATGCATTAACTGGATTTATGTCCTTAGGCAGGTCCTGGAACAGACGGATACGCGCTGATGTCTAGCACGTGGTGCCTTTCGCACCACGAAATCAGTATTGACGTGTATTGATCGAGTGGTCCCGAGAAGCTATTAAATCCGAATGTTTTGCTGCGCATGCGTATTACTCTAATAAAGACTACCCACAGAACCTCACATAGTGTTTCTGTGACTTTCGGGTAACCGTAACGTGTGAACGCACCAAGCGGGAGGTCACAGACAGTACATGATATGAGAGCAACATATACTGCCATTTTCGTGGTTTTCTTAAGGATGGAATCGAAATCCTTTCTTCACCCACCAATACTTCACGCACCAGGGGTACACGTAAGCAAATATAGACCCCATTTTGTGTATAATTATCTTCTACACAGTATGGTGACGGTCACTAACTTTAATTTTCTGGTTACCCAAGATGATACCCGGTAAAGTGTGAAAAGGTATGCCACCGTACCCTGAATAACAACTTGCATTAACTAAGTAAGAATTGAAGAGCAGTACTGCAGTTCGACCAGCAGTAAAACAAAGAATTTTTGCGAAAGATCGATCATTACTTTGAAGTCGGATGAATTAAAACACGCCAGTACGTTTGACAGCCGAGTAGGATTTGAAGCAAGTTATAACTAGGCAAACGGAAACTTAGACGAGACTATTTGCCCGACACCATCCCACCAGCATTGCATGCAGCTCCAGTAGCAACATGTTTTGAGCATTCTCAAAAGCGTGCTTTCCCCGTTTCAGTGGGTAGAGGAGGTCTTGCCCGAACAATACTTCATCTCTGGTTCTGGGGTAAGCAGAAAACTGACCAAAATCATTTACCTGATCTGCAGCTGCCCGTGGTGAGTTCAAGGTCTGGGAGCTTAACATTTCACGTTATTTCACTCATACTTAATGTGGACCTGCCTTGTCCGTATATTGATGTTTTGAATGTGGAAAGTGACCACTTCTGCCTGTGGCATGATACTCACAAGGTAGATAGTGTCTTGAGGAGGTCCACACCTTAAGATAGGAATACCGAGGTGTCTCATTATAAATACATTCGGTTACCAGGACGAAACCAGAGAATATATTACAGCCCTCAGGTCACCCATCCAACGAGCAACGGACGAAGGGGGTTGATCAAAAAAGTAACCATCACGTAATTACACAGAAACAGCACACAAAGGAGACAATGCTACACCGGATCTCAGCTTCGTTTTTCTAATGAATCAAGCATGTCGAAATTCCACGTCACAGGAGGTGGCATCAGCCGCTTCATCAAGGTTTTTTCAAGAGGGAGTTGAGCGGCCATTTCAGCTTTTACTATCTGAGACCGAAAAACGCGTTGCGCCTTTGAATTCAATAGGCACATACCTCGCACTCACTAACACCAAAGTCGATTTGTCTCCTCTTATCTCACTACTGTCCCCTCTTTTACCACCCACCTGGGTACATTTATACTCCCTATTTCCCTTAGCTACATTCATAATGCCCCTTGCTATTCTTCATATGTGTGCCTGGAGGTCTGCAAAGTTGTCATAGACTGAATAACCACCTATGAAAAATAGTAGTTAGAATGTCGTGTTATGTTCGTCGTTGCGTTAAACACGGACCCAACAAATTGTTGCTTGTTTAAAAGTTCTGAAGTAGAAATTTATTTCTCCCTCCCACATCTTTCACTGTTGGTACACAATTCTATTTTATACTCCGCGTGATTCCCGGTTTATGCAGTCTTGGAGATGATGAGAAAAACAGGAGTACTTTCGGAACCTAATAGAAAGATTGAAACCAGACATCGTCGCCAGGTGAAGTCTACTTCATGTCAGCAATCATAAATAAAAGATCTCTTTGAATCTTGTAAATACCGCGTTCATCATATCCTTCATTGGATGCTAAACGATCTGTGAGCGAGTGTTTTATGTCGTTCCTATTTCGGTTGCCCTTCACTATGTTCAATACATACCCATTTCCCCAACAAGCCTGCCTCACCATGACTTTCCGCTTTCTTGTTGTGGATCAACTTCAGCTCCATGAGATTACTGAATACTCATTGCCCGTTTACCACGCTCTGTGGTCGACGATTGCTCTTCAGGCCATTTTCTAGATGGTGATAAATGGGGCGCCACTCATCTTCGCAGTATCTAGTGGCTTACTAACCAGTCTAATCTTTATTCAACAAAATCAAACCCTTAGATTCCATCCACCAGGAAAGCTGCGAAAGCGAAGGATGTTACGGCGTCTTCTTGTCTGTTACAAGCCAAATCCACAAAAAGAAACCAAGTATTGGGTCTTCAAAGTTACAGCCCAAAAACTATCTACTTATCAAAAGAACATGCAAGCTTGCAGCGCTCAGCATTTTTACTTTTCACTTCCTAACACAACGAAACTTCCCCCTTCCGCCTATAGATTTTTCGAGATTCAAGTTCAGAATGTCTATCCTAACTTTGATCGTTTTCCATTTTATCGAGATAGTGGGGCTTCACTTAGGTGCTAAATCCGGTGTAAATTTTGGTGCCAGTAACAGAGTTTCACCGCGGTGCTCTTTGGTGTTGCTTTTTCACAGGTTTTCGAAACGTGGCGGCCAAAAGAACATGTTTAACCTGATCTCATGAGCAAGTATCTTGATGAATGAATTGACTGGTTAATGAGAGCTGAACAACTCTGATGGAGCGAGGACTCCGGTTACAAGAGGCAGCGCCTTCTAAAAAGAAGTCATGTGAGACGTGGTCATTAATCCTGAATAACTTAGCGCTGTACCCCTGGAACACGATGCTTATCAGCCATTTGGTCTCCATGGCATACAGACAAAAGTGTCCCTCAGAGCCCCAGATTCCTGTCTAACTGGGATTAGATTGTACCTTTTGGAGGTTTCAAACAGATTTTCAGAAGCCTCATATGATCTTGTCAGAAGTTTAAGAATATCGTCTCCCCTGACTTCAAGGGTGCAAAATAAACCCGCCACGCATTCTTTGGTGGCCTATCCAATGCACCCTGATAACGTTCGAGGAACTGTCGTCAAGGCCGTATCCATGTCCTTCAGCAAGCAGGAAAGAGGGTTTCTGAAAACGACGTACCGCATCTTAAACAACCCTTGGACAACAATTCTGACAGTTGTCCAACCCAAGTAATCACAACATTTTTATCGGACACTGTCAAGGGTCGAACGGATCTAGCTACATATCAAGTCATAAGTCTACCCAATAAAAAACTCTCAGGTCCTAAATTCCTCCTTCTCAGAAGGAAGTCAGATGACCTCTTAATAACTTTTAAAGGCTGACTCAATGTGTTCTAGGAATGGAACTTTGGGCTGAGTCACAAATAACTATCATTACTTAATAAATTGTGTTTCTTTTTACTGCTTTGTTTTACATATACGAACTTAACCAAGTGAAACACTGTCTCAGTGGTTCTGGATACAACATCTAACCATATGAAAACTTCTTTCATTCAGTTTTTCACAATTTCAAGCTGTTGTGTATTTGTCTCATTCTAATTTTACAAGGCTAATGTCAGCGGTGGATTTGAGCTGACCGGTGACCTTGAAAAGACATGCCAAAAAAAGCAGCAAAACTTGATGGCACAGACTCATCGAAAGAAACTCTGGACCTTGATTTAGAAGGATTTCCACCCAGCGCTAGTGATCGTGATGGTGTAGCAATCTTGCTGAAACACATTTTCCCGGATGGGTCAATAATCAGTGCAATGGACCTTGCTGAATATATTGTATCACAAGATTCCATTGGGACTGTAGTTAAATCTGCTGTCAGTGAAGATGATGATAGTGATAGTGATGAGATAGTTTTCGCAGTTACAAGTGCTGTTGATATAAGTCAGAAGCTGGCTGAGAAATATCCAGTTGTTATGAATATTCGCAACTTCTTCCTTCAGGAAATAGCAAAATCAAAGAACTTGTCTGCGAAAGAAAAATTAGAATATCTTTTAGCAAAGGATGTACACTGTAATCCATACTTTTTCGTTAACGAGCGTTTTGAGAACTTGCCTCTCTCAATTTGTGCAGAGGCTGTTTCCTCCTTGCCATCTGAACTCGCATCTGCTGAGTTGTCCCCTACCCACTTGTTTATTTTGTCTTGGGCTTATTCAGACAAAACTGCAATTGAGGAGAAGAAATATGAATATGCCTATTCTGAAGTGGAACTTATTGTTCCTCACGCATTGCATGTACTAGAAATAGACCCTAACAGTCTCATCAGCTGTGGTCAGAAGAAGCAAGAGTTTGACAAAGAATCAGAAAACTATGACGCCTTGTTCTTGATCGTCATCTCAATGGACAAGTTTCATGATATTTTGAACTCTTTAACTAGTTTTGTATAAATATATATTCTTTGTACTACTGTTTTTGCTGGTACCTAACAACGGCGGTTTGAAGTAGTCAAAAACACTTTACGTACCTTGCTTTGAAATCTTTTCCAGTAGCCGTAAGAGCGATGGCTTTATATTCACTCCGTTAATTCTTGATTTTAGTTTATAGAAATCTGCAGTTTCTATGGGACTTCGTAACATTTGTTGTGTTTCTTCAGTTAGCGAATGCCTGAAAAAAGAAATGGAAAGTTGCTAGATATCTTCTTCCATAGCTTGCCCCTTTTATATCATCATTGGTAAGCTCTGTAACTAATTTATATGCATCGCATTCTAATGTGAGGAAGATTAGATTATGATTAAATGACTTCCTTAAGGGTGCTACAGGAGGTAATGCATTTTGTTTAGTCAAATTATGGTTATGTACGTAGGTCAACTGCAGGTCTGTAAGCAGTCTAGTCTCCTGTGCATAAACAATTAGCCGCATTGAGAAAGATTGAGGATCACCTATATGGTTGGGAAGGCAGCAGTTGACTGTAAAACAGAATGTTATACAATGCTTTTGCTTATATTCTGACAGGTTGCGGGCAATTTTGTTAGTCTTCGACCTCATCCGAACTGGTCGATGCCGGAAGACATTTTAGTTTGCCTTGATCACTGAAGAGCGAAAAAGTCTGAGTGTTAATCAACGAAAAGCCTTCGCAGTGACAAGAGCTAAAGAAATGGTGTGCAACTATCTAGCATTATTGCAGCAACCAAACCGGTATGGAACGTAAGTATTTGTACTCCAACTCTCCTTGGTGACTGTTTCTGACTTGAAATGATGCAAGCAGCAAGACCTAATGGTTTGCCACCAGTTTTCAAAGATGGAGTAAAGTAACAGAGGTACCAAGTATTATGTGAGAATTAGAGGTAATTCTGTCAGACTAGTCTAAAAATTGTATTATTCCTAAGAAGGAAGAGATCTTGTGACGACTACATGGAAGTCACTTTAACTAGTGTTGTGTCCAGGATCCTTGGCTCCATAGTTATCTGACTCCTGACTGGAGCTTTAGAACAGTAAACTCGAGAAAATGAGGCAGGTGTCAGACGTAGATGAGGTTGCATCGGTCACCACTTCACCCTTCGTTAGGTTATGGGACGCAGACATACCGGCGAACGACACGTATTTATTGACCTGCAGGTGGTATTTGACTGACCATCGACCTTGAGGTGTTGCAGTGTCAGACTGTGAAGGGAGCACCTAGCAATTATGTAGTGCTAATCAAAGCTCTCTACTCGGACTCATGCAGACGTGTCGAGGATTATGGTAAGATGTCATCTGAAATGACGACACACGTTTCAGTTATTGGGTGGTTTTTCAGAACTTATCTGCGTCTGCTAGTCTAAGGACAGCGAATGAAGTCGTGCAACGGACCGACCACTTCACCTAATTGGTAGCCTTATCAGCTTGAATGGGTTGGTTACTGATGATATCTCGCCTCGGATAGAACATTTGCCAACTAGCAAGATATCCCACCACTTATTAAAGTATGTGCATATTGCACTGCAGTCCGTTCTGTCCTGTTATGTAGCCGTTGCGAGTAGAAGACATGAAGCGGCTGCAAGTCTTTAATCACAGGTGTCTTTGCAGCATTACTCGCATTTGTTGGGATCACCATGTGATTAGTGTAGAGGTCAGGCGAAAAGTACTAGTGAGATTGTGAACCTTCAGTGGCCTAGTTAATTTTTGGACATGTGCTGCATACTTCGATTCATCGCCTACCTCTGCGTGCGGTACTAGAAAAAGTTGGAAGAGGGTTCTTAGTGGCTAGACCAAGACTTGATGCCAGTGCATGAAATCTCTGACTGTTAGTCTGACTCATGTAGACTACTTGGTTGGGATTCCTGAGACGATCGGAATAAGTCAGTAGTTGAGAGCTGTCGGTGAAATGACTGAAAATCAGTCACAATATTGCAGATGTATTCACTCTTTGACGTCTTCTAAAGGTCGAATGTTTTGACCTACTTTAGATTTTCATTTCCCACATACACATTCGTCTGCTTTGATACCTGTCTTTCCTATCTACTTGTTCTTTGTATAATGCTATGAAGCATGGTAAGTTAGACCGTTGCGCTTTCGTTCAAGGTTCTGGATTAGTTTTTTTGTCTGTTTTTTGTCCTATTATGCCTCTCTCTAAAAGTAAAGTATATGGAGACTATAGGATTTTAATCACAGGTGCCTTAGCAGCATTGTTTACGTACTGTGGAAGCAAGGGAAGTCAGTCGACAACGTTGTGAAAGTTCAGTGGATCTTTTGGTTCTAATACGTGTTGTCCTTGCTGAGCCACCTTCTACCTTGACGCGTCCAATGTCAGTCAGAGTAGAATTGTATTGGAAGAAAACTCAGGGTGGTCAGATCAAAATGTGGCATCAGTCCTTGAAGTCTTAAACTGTTTGTTTGAGCTGTGTATTGAGGTGTAGACTATCTGCCTGGGATTGTCGAGATGATACGAAGTAATAGGTTGTGACAGTAAGCTAAAAACATCTTATAGGTAAATGGTAACTATGAGATATCTACAGAATGCTAACTTTCAGGCAGTTAGATATATATTAGTGCACAGACAGGACACACAATAACCATCTCACGTACACATCGTATGATTTGGTTGTTAGTGGCTTAAGAAAGGATAAAATAATCGTACTGACAATAAACAGAATTTATCCTTATCTACAGTCACAATTTTGAGGCCATAGGATTCTGTATTCAGTAACTTGGTCACAGGTTAAAGCTTACCTATATATATATATATATATATATATATATATATATATATATATATATATAAAGTGGAGAGCTACAAATATAACTTACAAATTCTTTTGGTAATACAATCTTTCAGCGACCGCGCATAGTACATAGAATTCGTTCATCGTGAGTGTCCTACTTTCAGGAGTTAATTCAAACAAGGAAGCTAGTTCATCGGCTTGTTCTGAAGTTAAAGTACCTCCAAGGAGACTTTTGATCGATTCCATGAGAATCTTCATAAATTAGCGTACAAGAAAAGAAAAAATGAAAATATTTATCCACTTTCAATATAAGTCTGAACACCAAAATAATCTAATCAACTTGCTGATATTTTTAGGTTCGCCGAATTATTGTGATACAGTGAAGCGCCATCTAATGACTATTGTTTCTTTCATCATAAGGAACATGATTGCACTCTAATTTCACCGTTCTCATCTAAAATTGTTGACAATTACCTTTGTGGTAGTCATCAAACTAGCGTTAACAATTCGTTTACTGGGTACAACTGCTAGTTAATGCTACTGTAGCCAAAGACGAGGAGCTCATCCATTCCGTTAAGTACAGTACTTCTCAGTCACTGAATTTTCATTTTTGTAGGCTATGTTGGGTTTGGTTTCCCTCCCACTGCATTTTCTAACCCGCATAGTATTTTTAGTTTTGCCAGCTACAACTAGTTTGAAAAGCTTCAGTAGCATGATTCATTCAAGTTGTATACGGCTGACGAATATCGTATGAAATTGAATGACCTCACCATATTCTACATGTGACGCTCACATTGGATTATCCAGAAGCTGTTCATATCATAAAAATTACAGGTCACTTTCATTTAGGAGTAATCTGCTACACTTAATGTTAAAATGTCTGTTCACTAAGAAGTTATAACATGAAAATTGTATATTTGTTTATCTCTACCAATATAAGTTTGTTTTTCTTCGATTTATTTGACTCTGGTTAGTAACCTGGTCTTAAATAATAGAATAACGACTGAGTCTGAAGTGAAATGATGAGTTGCTGCATTGTTTTAGCTAGAGATCTCCGAATTATTTGTCCGGTGATCAACTAACAACTACAAAGGTTGATTGTGAAAGAAGCATCTGTCTGACTTCGGTCATTGGAAGTACTAGTCAGTTGTTGTGAGGATAACTGATAAACGCTTGTTCTCTTAAAGTCAACGTACTAGTCGGATAGCAATTTTTCCTCACCCATCTTTAAATCAAAGTGACTGACTGGATCCATTGTGAAGTAAGTGCCGATGTAGTCACCCAGCCTAATGAAACGTCCAGGAACAAACGTAAAGGTTTTTAGAACGCCAAACGATTACCACTACAACCACCCTGCCGACTATTTGAGATAGTGTAATCAAAATGCAGTAATTTTGAGTCCTTCAGAAAATTGGGTTCCCTGCAAATTAAGCATTCAGTTAAGTCCTCATTAACTCGTTCACATTATCTTCATCATAATCAGATCATGAGATTATATATTTGCAGACTCAGATCTAAAATGAGTTCCTATAAACGGCAATGTAACAGTCGAAGACTCTTTAGGGGGTTAAGTGGAAATCGACTGATTGGTGTCAGCTAGAAAGGTACTAAAATGTGGGAGCATTGGGCACCTGTTTCATCCTGGTTTGGGACTCGTCATCATCCGTAAAATCCGAATCGAAATCCACTTCGCAACCTTGTGCGCATTTGTGAAGTAGACAATACCCCACACTTTGATGGATGTTAGTTAGTTGGAGTGAATCGGTAGGAGCTCTGAACCTAGGTTTCATGATTGTTGGCACTCGTCGCCAAGGTGTGTCTGCAACCTCAAGGGAACTGATGTCCCGCATGAAACTCTAGCCCGTGCCATCTAGTGCTACAACCAGAGACATTATCACTGAACTATTCGGGCCGCAACTGACCTCCTGTAGGACTGCGTTAAGCACACTGATTGGTCATTGGACAGTAACCAGTCCCAGTATGTCTAGTCTTCAGCACAGACCGAATCCTATCGATCATTTTGGGATGTAGCCACCAAGCTAGGAGGCTCACCATTGTGGTACATTTTGATGGATTCTAGTTGGTTGGAGACAATCGGCTTGAAGCTTTGGACCTGGGTTTCGTGCTTGTTGGCACTCATCAGCAAAGTGTATCTGCAACCTCGAGGGAACTGATATCCCCTGTGGTAGGTTCGAATCCTACAGGGGCCACCAGTTCCCTCAAGGTTATAGATACGCCTTGCTGACGACCTCTAACAAGCGCAAGATTTCCGTCCAAGGCTTCTTATCGATTGCCTACAACTAACTAACACCCATCAAAGTGAACCCCAATGGTGAGCCTCTTGGCTTCGTGGCCGCAATGCAAAATGATCGATCTACATTCAGGGCTAGACAACATGAGATTAGTTGCTCTCCAGTGACCATTCAACTAATGAGGCACACCTATAGTTCGAAGCCTAGTAATATTAACTGGCTGCTCAAACCTCGGTAAGTGCGGTACTCGAGCCTACGATCCACTGGTTCAAAGTCAACTCACTGTACAGGTTTTAAATCACTAATCTTTCCTGTCCTTCAGACTGTTTAGTCAGCATTGGATTGCTTATCATCGCAAACTATTCATTTGTTAAGCAGGTTTTGACTAACCAAATACCTCGGAAATGACTTCATTGCACTAGTATCGCTTTGGTTTGGTGCTGCACAACAGAAAGTTAATTGAGAAGTCTTTATTACGTTTTTAAACCTACTATCACTTTCTGCTATCTTTCTGCTGTTCTACTGCTATTAGTTGTATGATGAAGTACCAGTTTTCAAAGGTCGAGCAAATCGACACGGTAGAGCAACAAGAAATTACAAGTATCAATGAACAAGTGATACCTGTTGCGTAATTGGTGGCTCTCGTCCCCCATTAGCTTAGTAGATAACGCTCTGGCGTTTGAAGCGATCCATCTCGAGTTCGAATCCTGGTAGGAACAACACTCATTGGGGTGCAAGTACCTCCAGCTGAAGAGTCCCCAAAAGGACAAAACGTGCATCCTGGATCCCACTGCTAATCACTAAATAGACTACCAGGTATTCACTTCAATGAATTTAATACCTCATCGTGAATTTTAAGCCATTTAATTTTTTGGAGAATCAGGTGAAATGTATTAACCGATGTTTCTTATCATGCTGTACACAAATATATAAACAATAGGATCTACGGTTATAATTTTACTCTTGTATGTCAAATTTCTAGTATGTACATCTCAGGTGTCTGGATGACGAAAAATTTATCAAAAGTTAGTATGAAATGTGAATTCAGGTTATTTCTTATGTGCGGAATATAACTACGAAAAACATATGCTTTTGGATAGTAAATATTCCTGAAGAATCTTATGGATTTCACATGTTCCAAGATATCCTTCCTGATAAAGGATGTAGGTATAATCTTATTCTTATTGATAGATGAACACATAGACAGATAAATCGGCAAATAGCCTTTCATAGTGGTGCAACAATTCAGGTTTCCAAACTGTTCAGTAACGGATGTTAGCATTTATGCATGAGCTATCTGGTAACCTCTTTTTCCTTGGTTGACTATCGCTCATTTAGTATGTAGTTCATAGTTACGTTACCTTAATCACATATTTTATGTTGGTAAAATATATTCGAATCGCTCAGTCTACTTGTTGTACTATGCTCTGAAATCCACTTCAACTGGGATTTGTGGCGGTCATCATTATCTCAGTGTTGTGGTCAAATAATTATTCAACCATCTTCAGTTTATTATTCAATGCATTAATATTTTTGCATCAATATTCTTGCCTATCAGAGAATACACATCCGTTTCTGCCTTTTAATACCATTTTTAATCGTCAAATAAGCGTTTGAGCGATTTGAAAATTAAACAATTTAGCCGAGAAACAGAATAACTATTTGTTCCTTATGAGTGTTTATATCAGTATTCCAGTTTAGCTTGTTCATTAGATGTGTTACTCAATGAAACAGTATTTGTTATCATTTACTTATCCAGTGAGTAGTACTGTTTAACCGTATGAAACATCTAAAATGGAATTGTAATCTACGACGGTGGCCAAGTTCTACTCTTGTATTTATACCGGTATATATCATTGACGAGTTGGTCAAACATCATGAAGTAACTGTCTAGTGGGTTGGAGTATGGCCGAGCAGACCGTTTACCTTACAGAATACACGAGAATCCAGAATAGGCTAGACGTTGAATTCTGATCATAAGAAAGCTTATTGCCTAGTGCTATCATTCTTTTTTGATGCAAAGCATAAATAAGATCTCATCAATATCTGTCTTTTGAGTGAATCCGTATTTGGGTCCATTGTTCGTGTCACCATCAAGAGATTGTATTGCAAAACTTCCTCGCTTGACACCAGCCAGAAAGCATAGACGAGCATTAACTGCACTTGCAAGATGCCATGAAAATGGTTAGTAAAGCCGGTTGTGGCTTGGAAGGATGTCCCGTAAGTCTCTTACGTGAAAGATTACACAACGCTCACGCAGGGACTGTGAGGCTTCGAGGTCAGGACACGCAAGTGAAATGAAGCATCAACTGCACCTGACAGTAGTCGGAATCTGCTCCAGCCCATCCGAGCTGCTGGCAGAAAGAAGCCTCGTGTCTGTGAGACGGTCTGTGAAATAGATGGCATGCCGATAAAAAATCTTCAAAAACACTTGGAACTGTGGGTGAAGTACTTCGAAAAGCAGTTTAGCCGGTCCGAAGCTCTGTCATTGTCAGCTTCGGTGTATTGTGTTCCATGGTGAGTTAACATTTACCCACCTAACGAAGTGGAGGTCCATATGGAACTGCAAGTTCTAAAACGGTACAAGACACCCGACTCAGGCAGCTTATCCCCGGCTCATTTTAAGGATTAAGCAACGACTGTAGTCACAGAAGTGAGTATTTCGTCAATTTGGAATGAGGCCATCATTGTGCTCATCTTTAAAAAGGACCTACATAATGTATGTAGCAGTCATCAAGGTGATAGTCTGTTACCAGTCATATTAAAAATATTGGCTGTTATCATACTTCGCAAAATACTTGAGAAAATGATTCATGAGGAACAGGCCAGGCGTCGTTCAGGTCTTGGATGTGTTGACCATGCGTTTACCCTCCTCCAGAGGCTTGAACATCTCCAGACGTACTGGAGGCCAACAGTCGTTGTTTCTCAACATTAAGCTGTTAGTGAGGGACGTGTCTGAGAATTTTGTTAACATCTTCAAATCCCTCTATAATGACACCTCAAGCAGAGTGAAGTTAGGCAGGGTTTCCCGATTCCTCTGTTCCGCTTTAGCTTTACCATCGATGAAATTCTTGAGGCAGCTCTGGAGGAGGTGCGTGATGGTGGAGAACGGCTGTTCGACCCCGAATATTTGGACTATACCGTCTTGTTGTGCAATAACACACAGGCTACTCAAATCGCACTTAATTAGTTGGAGATTAGTGTCCGTAAGTATGGTTTGTGGTTTGCACCATCAAGGTGCAAAGTGCTTTTGCAAGATTGGCAGGAGTCTGTGCCTGCGCTCACCCTTGGTGATGAATCATTGAAAGTAGTCGAAAGTTCATGTATCTGGGTAGTTTTGTGGGTGCTGATGAAGATGTGAGTGACGAAATGTCTAACCGCATTTTGAGAGTCTGAGTAGCATACGCCAATCTGGGCCACCTTTGGGGTCGTCGCGACATTAGTCTGATCTTAAAAGGCCGGATTTCTGATGCTTCGGTGTTAGTAGTTCCACTCTACGCCTGTGAAACCTGGCCTCCGAGCTGAAGATTTGCGACGACTCTATGTTTTCGATTATCGCTGTCTTCATAGAATTGCTCTTATCTGATGGCGACACAATGTAAGTAATTCTGAGGTATGACAGCGTGTATTTGAGCATGATGAAGATTGCCTTTCAATAACTGAAGTCATCTGAAAACACTGGCTTCAGTAGCTTGGAAATGTGTTACGCATGTCATCCCAACGGATTCCATGCCGTTCACTGTTTGTAAGCGCTAATACTGAATGGAAGAAGTGGAAAGGTGGTCAGTGTATGACATGGCACCGTGGGATGAAGGCTAGTTGTGTCGGGTTAGTATCTGTTGGTCCATCACGATTCCCTGGGTGGGGTCCAAGAGATCACACAACCCAGTGGCATGAGACGTTAACAGATATGACTCAGAATCGAAACTAGTGGTGGTCATACTGTAGCTTCCTTTTATCTTCTACTGCTGAAAAGTAATGAATATTTCGTTTTGAATGTATCTTATTGGGCTGCCTTTCTAAGAAATATATTTTTCTGTTTCTTTTTCTTATTTACTCACTTCCTATCGTTTGTCTTCACAATATTGTTATGTTATTTTGTGTGGCGCATATCTTGATGCCCTTGCTGCACCATGTTTGCGTTCTAACAATAATAAAGTAGTAATGAAGCGGCTGGAGCATGTGTTACGTATGCCTATTCACCGCCCACTTAGTTGCTCACTGTTAGATGAAGTAGGTTTAGGCTAGAAAATAGTTGAAGGTAGCTAGACATATGAAAAGTAGCATCACTCCATGAAGTTTTTAGTTGTTGACCTGAGCTATGCGGGGAGATATAGACTTTCCGGCTGGGGTCTGCACGACAACAGAAACCTGTTTTTTGGGAATCTAGGCGACATGACTCATAATCGACCTAAACGGTGCTAATACATCCATACATTTTCCTTATTTTAGTCATCATAATGAATTCAGTATTTTCTTATTCCTCCGTCGTCTCTTTTACTACTTTCTTCTGATTTCAACTGATTTTTCTTTTTTTTTTCACCTTTCATCGTAGTGCTTCCTCTTTTGATGTGCTGATATGAGGTGTGGTAAATTGGACCGTTATTCAGTAATTATTATTATTATTATTAGTCCCTTGGGTTCCTAGTGGAACATAGGGCTTCAGTAGCACGCCTCCAGTGACCTCTGTTCTCTGAGATCTTTTGAACCTGGTCCCACGACAGCCTAGAAGCTCTCATTTCCTCCCCGCACGACCTCCTCCATGTCACCCTCACCTCGGACGTCCAACTCGTCGCTTCCCATGGGGATTCCACTCGAAGGCCTGACGCTTGATGTCCTCAGTCGGCCTTCTCAGTGCATGCCCAATCCATCTCCACTTCCTCCTGCATATTTGTTGAGTAATAGGTTCTTGGTTGGTTCGTTCCCAGAGCTCCTTGTTGCTTATTTTTTCTGGCCATCTGATCTTCAGCAGCGAGCGTAAGCAGTTGTTGATGAATGTCTGTAGTTTATTGGAAATGCCTTTCGTGACGCGCCAAGTCTCTGAGCCATACAGAAGCACTGACTTGACGTTGGTGTTGAAAATCCGTATCTTGTTCCACATGCTGAGTGCAGAAGATCTCCACACTGGTTTCAGGCTAATGAACGCCTGTCTTGCTTTTCCGATTCTGACTTTGACGTCCTCGTCTGTGCCGCCTGTAGTCGAAACAGTGCTTCCTAGATAGGTGAAGGAGGTTACTTCCTTTAAGTTTCTCCCGTTGACGGTGATTGGAGTTTGTTGTTGTTGGTGGTGGTGAGGTATCTTCATCACCTCTGTCTTCTCTATATTCACCTGAAGTCCCGTCTTCTGCCTTCTTCTGTCTTCTGCCTCTTCTATCAACTTGTTAGTTTTTGCCTGCAGATCTTCAAGTTTATGTGACATTAGGCACAAGTCATCGGCGAAATCCAAATCTTCTAGGTTCTTTTCCGCAGTCCAGTGTATCCCCTTCTTCTCGCTGCCCACTGTTTGTTGCATGATCCAGTCGACCACAATGAGGAATATCATGGGGGATAGTAGGCAACCTTGTTTCACTCCTGTCTTCACTTCAAAATCATCACTGAGCTTCCCATTGTGAATTACTATTATTCAGTAATGCCTGATCCTAAATTGATGATGCTGAAATTAACCTAGAATAGGATGCCTGTGTTGTTTCTCGGTGATGACAGTCATGTCGACGGCTCAATAGTTATCAAATTCCATGGAAATTCACAAGCGACAAAATTATTTGAATTTTCTAATGAAAATGTGCACTATATTAGCCTGCCTGTCTTAAATTTAAATACTTAGATGGAAGTAGCAGATTATATCTTTGCAAAAACTTATAAAACTCGAGGGTAAAATTTCACTATAACTTTACTTGTAAGATAATATATCATCTGTTTACCACCATAAATGATCTCAGGATTACTGGCGTGAAAGTTGTACAACATGTACAACTGCCTTTTATGAACAGTTGTAAATCACTCAGACTGATTAGGCTTTTTTACCAGCCAGATCAAAGTAACCTATATACTGAGCAGAAGTTCTGTTCATTTGCAGTCGAGTTTGTTGGTGGTGTATGCGGAATTGTGTTCTTCTAAGCATCAGGATTCTGGTTAGCTATCTTATCTGATCTATGATATAGAAATCATACCAAGTATTTACAAATTACACAGTTCATAATGAAAATTACACAATTAGGTGAAACAAAACTGTAAAGCTTCATCAGCGTTTTTCTTTGGAAACTAAAATATTCGAACAATAGCTTGTTATCTGTTCAATACTAGCTTTTTGTTCAGTGTGAACCAGTTAATCAGCACTGATGATGATCATCGTCAGGGGTGTACAACTACTCACCGTAGACAGTTATCAATATAAGTTCTCCTCTTCTGATTGGTCAGTCTTAGTGTTTTCAGTTTGAAATATCATTACTTTAAAAATATTAGTATTTTAAGTGGAAAATATCCTTCATCATATCAAAACTTTGAAATGAAGTAATATAATGTTGTTATATTGATGAGTCTAGATATTTGAAAGCTGAGACTATCTAGTGAGTATCCCTGATAATAGACTGCAGCTCTAAACAAGAAAAGATCAATCATTAGTATTTTTATGCATGCCTGTCTGACCAGGCGTATGAAGACAGCGGGGATGTGCGTACAAATGTAGGATTATTGATAATTGATCTTACTGGACTAAATCGTTCTTTATCTTGTTTAGAAAACTGGACGCTTGGTTCCCTTCATTTCTAATCATCTACTTATGCTTATATTCCACCATTTTGTCATCCTTGCGATTTCAAATAAGTTTAGAGAACGAAACTGATGAACTCTTAAACAGAAGCTCTATGTAGTGAAAATTGGTTCCCCAACTACCAAGGGTTATCATTATAAACTCGCATCTACATTTCAAAAATGAATGAGAATGGAGAACTGTTTGGAGACTTCTGAGAATTCAACAATTTGGTGATTGAAGGCGAGGCAGTGTGTACAAACACAAGGATATTCACAAAGCGACATGGATTCGATTTCACCAAACACCAGGACACGCTACACTAAAAATCAGATCGACTTCATCTCAATCTGAAGAAAGTGGAGACGCAGCCTACTGGACACAGGATCACGAAGAGGAGCAGGTGTAGGTTCACACCACTCACTATCTAGTGCAAGAAACATATATTCAAAATCAAGTTGAAAGCCTTCATTTCAAAGAAGTTGGAGATAGACCACAGTTCACGTTCAACACCCACCCTGAAACTGAAGGACGAAACTACAAGGGACATCTTCACGTCAGCCATCAGAACAAAATGAGAGACATTGAGCAACATCCCTGAAGAAACCTGCATAACCGTGTTAGTAAAGAAGAAAAAACAGTAAGACAAGGAATGGATCTCCACAGACACATGGAAGCTGATAGAGGAGGGAGAGGAACATGGTGATGGTGAGGCAGAAGATGAACCAGTGCAGTGCAGTGTAGTGTAGGGATGAACTATAGTTGACAACAACATCGAAACAGAAAATCAACGAACTTCGAAAGACATTTAACAATAAATTGGAAAAATGTCAATGGATAGAGAGTAGTTGCCAATGGAATACAGGACTTGTATTTCGTTCCATCTTTTAGGCTTCATCATCCACAACCATTTTATATATTGCAACTAAGAATCCAAATGAGTATTGATGTGCCAACAAGTACTGACTAGTTAAACATGATAAATCAATAATTGGAAATTTCTGTTGATAAACTGATGCCCAAAGAATAAGATGCACCTATGACAGTTGATCAGCTTAGTGTGTAGGGCTAAGTTATTTAACACAAAACATGCTTATTTCTGCGGGCACATCAACAATCACTAGGACGATGGTACATCCGGCTAAAGAGTCTCAAAAAACGACAATGTGTACACTAATAAACCAATTACTAATGAAAGTAAATAACTATTTAAACTTACGCTTAGATTTAATGTCTGTTGGTGATTATCTTTCATTTTAGAAAAGATTCTTTGATAGAGACCAGTACGGCGAGTAGAGAGAATGCAATATCTAAGACAATAATCCATTGAACTCAATCCTAAATATTTGAAATAAATAAAATTAATGTATAACCTTTATAAATTGACTGTGAATTTGCACCGATTAAAGAACTAAATGCTCCATTGAACACTAAATACTTTTTGTAATTTACTTGTTGGTGTTTATCATTGGGGTTCAGAACTCAAGTTTCGTCCTTTTTGGGACTCATCAGCTGCATATGCGTACACACGCAAGGTAACGATGGTAACCTGATTAAACTTGGACCCCACATCCACCCCTTCAAACACATAAGTATTATCTACTAGTCCACTGAATCGTGACAGCTATATCTTGTACTGACAGATGTTGATCAATTCCATCCAGTTTAACGGCGAGGAATTGAAATTATGAATCAATAATGACTGAATACTTGTTGAAAAAAATGTTCTTCGAAAAGCATTACTTGTATAGTCTTCATCCTACTAAAGGTATTAAATACCTCATTGAGGTCAGTAGTGAGTTGCACTTACAAATTTTCCAAGTTTGAAAAAACTGTCATTAAATTATATTTGTTTCCTTTATTCTAATAACAATATAGACTATATCACTTTTAAGTGTCATTCGAAACACTCAGATACATTTGAATTTATTTACATCACTAATATTTATGTTACTCTCGGTTTCAGCTCTTCTAAATTATCTAGATTTACTGACAAATTCACGTAATTTGCTGCTCCAATAATGTCTTGTTCATTATCTATTGTTTGCGTGGATCCTCTTGATCACAGTAACCAAGTCAATTTTTCAACTCGTTTTAATGCCACATTAGACTTAATTTTCGTAAATGAACCTGGAACATACAAAACTCGGAAGTATGCACCACTATTGAGCTCAGATCACTGTATTATACCTGTTCTGCTAAAAATATGCATGCAGATCTCATGAAAATACTTTTAAATATCATTCTAAGAAGACTATACATAGGAGTTTTACATATGACAATATCCTTAAACTCAGATGTGTGTTACAGCACACAGAATGGGAAATATTTAAAAATGTTGATCTGGATTATACAATCAGTGCTGTTATACGGTATCTTAAATTTCGTTGTGATATTTGCTGCTCAGATGAAATAGATTTTCTAAGGTTTAATGGACTCTCTTCTTCGCAATTAAACGACTTAATTGCCTGATTAAGTCTGAAATAAAACTGTGATACTTAATGTTTAACCTGAAGATTATATCATGCGAAACTCTCCTAGTATATGGAGACTCTTTAATGATCTTACTGGAAAAATAAAACTCAGAAATGAAACCTGCGATAGCGTGTGTACATTGAACGAGTCATTCATACGTAAACCTGCGAACGTTATATTATCTAGTTTTACTCGTATAACAGAATGCAACTTTTCCGAAATTCAACGAAACAAAGGTGTTCAAATGCCTGAAACCATTAAAACCTTCGCAATTCCCCGGACCACATGGCGTGCCTGGTATTCTTCTCATGAAATGTGCTGATGTTCTACGTCATCCACTCACAAATATTTTTAATGAGTATTGTGCTAGAAATGACGTACCAACCGCTTGAAAAGGAATTAAAATAGTTTCGGTACCTAGTTACACATCTAGTGCAAAAGTGAAATTCTGACTGATTCCAATAACCTCACTATTGCTAAAAACAATAGGAAAATTATTGCTTCATGCAGCTGAACCTCCTTTGGAGGCTTTCAGAGATCCAAATCAATCTACCTACAAACTCAAAAGGAGTACATTAGATGATGCAGTTTTTTTCATAATAATGTCATAACCTGTCTGGACAAAGATACTGAATATGTTAGATCTGTCTCCTTAGATTATACTTTTCCCTTTGACTCTGTCCCTAGACCTCTCTTATTAAACAAGCTTGTCAGTACTGAAAATGAGTCCTGGATTGCAAACTGGCTTGATTCATTTTTTTCTAAGAGAAGTTAGTACATTCTACAAGAGAGAAGCGCTCTAATTCCCTGCTTAATGAAGCCAGTGTGCCTGAAGCTGCTGTTCTTCTTCCTTTTCTCTTTCTTTTTGTATGACTTACCAACCTCACCCAAAGCTGACTTTGTAAAGTATACTGATCACCTGACAGTATTCGTACTGATCATCTCCTCTTCTGATTGTTCTCAGTTGAATAACTTCTTAACGCAAATTAGTCACTTATCTTCTTTAAATGGCCTCACGCTCAATTCCTCCAACTACCAGATGGTTAATTTTAGTTTAAAACGTGGACAAAACTTATGTCAAATACTTCAGTCCTATAAATCTTGTTTTATAGATGGCTCTGTTGTAGGAAATGTATCAAACAGGATCCATCTTGGCTTGTGCTTTTCTTCTGATCTTTCTTGGCTCCCTCATATCCTATTGATTTCCACGAAAATGCTTCGACTGACCTCTTATATCAGGAAACTCAGTGTTTAGCATAACTCAGCCTCTACTCTTTCTTTTCATTAATTCTTGTGTTTTGTCTTAACTAACTTATTGTTCTCTCTTATTTTCTTACTAAGCCATAGAAAAAAGATTAAACTGTATTACGTAGGACTTTGAAGGCTGTTAGTAGAGCAGGTAGCACACCCTTAACCGAGGCGACAAATTCAGTCGAAGATAGGCATCTGAACTCTTGTAGACTGCTGACTAAAAATATTTTATCTGATGGCAAGTATCATTTGCATCTGCACCTCTCTCAATATCTGTCCCATGGGAACACAAGAAGCAAATATACAAAAATTCAACCATACCACCTTATTTAGCTTGTGTCAAAAAATTCTTGTTAGACATAGTCTTATCAATCAACTTTGTAGTAGTGAACAGTTATCATGTTCCTGAAGTCATTGAACATTTCAGTAATCCTGTTATTCTTTACTGTATATTGTTGAATACATCACCATTGTTAATGTTTTAAAAATGAAGAATGGGTAAATTGATGTAATATCACATGCTGAAAATCCTGCACTGCTAACATAATAACGGTACAGAATAAAATAGAAATTTATCCACATAGCGGTTAGTTTGGATGAACAAATTGGTTTACCAGGAAAGGATCTGAAACAAAAATCAATGAATAAATCAATTTTGAGAAGGGGTGTTACTGCGAATAGTCTCCTGATACACGGGTGTTTATCCTGTCAGATTTTTAATTTTAATACAGTCATGCATACGGTCGAAATGACTAAAAATATCTCGTATGAACTAGTTAATATTTTTGTAGGCGTCACATGTTATTTTGAAGTTTACACTATTTTTTTCGCGTTTGCTGGAATCCCCGTGTGAGTAATGTGGAGGTCAGGTGAAGGGTATTAGGTAAGACAGGCCGACATGCAATGCTAGGGGAAGTGGGATTAGGTTACAGTAGGGTTCAGGGTGGCCAGACTGAGACTTGACAACAACCGATGGAGTCATTGACTTTTGGTCTCAGTCGTGTAGGGAGATGTAGACTTCTGAGCTGGGGTCCCTGAGAAGAAATGAATCAATGCTTGAGGTCTCTTGGAGACACAGTTTAGAATCGGTCACAATACAGTAGATATATTTTTCACTCCTTGACATCTTCTAAAGCTTGAATATTTACACTAGCCATCATTTTCAGTTTGTTTATTCTCTCACGCTACTTTATCTACTTTGATGTCCCTTTTTATATCCATCTGTTCTTTATGTATTACTGTGAAGTGTGGCAACTTGAGCCGATGCACCTGTGTGTGTGAGGTTCTAGGCTGATTCTTTCAGTCACCCGCTCACTATTCAAAGATAAGGTCCAATTTGATCAAGCATCTATGAGCTCACTGGGTAGCCAAAATATACGTAGGCTTCATTATCAAAGTTTGAAAAAAAAAGATGATAATGACGTTCAAAAATTGCATGCCATACCTCAAAATCAGTTACTACGGTACAAATTGATTGGTGCTTTATCTGCACGGAAACATTAAAAACGCGATTATCCCTTTATTTTCATCTCAAGGGTTTTTACAACTTCTAACAATATAATTTATCAGTTTGATCATCTATGATACCCGTGGTTTCGCAGACTTATATTATACTGTTACTGGGTGATCATTAAAAGTGAAATGAAAATGTGAGGCGGGGCAAAGATTCATGTCAGTGACCTCCAAGTCAGGTTTAGGAGTCGTAATAATTTCACTTCCTCATCTTACCCCTTGCTTTCTTCTGCTCTGACGGTCCAATGCGAAATATAGCAACTTGTTGCACGAAACGACTATGTCAGCTCCTGTATTTATAGTATTTATTTGTGTTTGTTTCCATGACTTTATATATATTTGGTCATAGTTGTGACATTGGCTCTCCTAATGAGGTGTTCAAGGTGTTTTAACTTTTTGGTTAAGGATGTTAGGAGGATATAACTTCCGATCAAACACAGTGTTTCAAATATTTATTACTCCCCGTCTTTTTAATCATTGAATATCTTGTGTCGTTATAAGCAGTGATTTCAACTGCTTAAGTCCTTCATTCAGTTTACCTGAATTTACTTCAGTTTCCTTTTGTTCTTTTTCTCTTTAGTCTTATCAATAATGAAGTATGCCGAACATCAAGTGGTTTATCCCTGCGAACGATTCTACTTTGGAATACCTGTACATCAGAAGTTAGAATCCAAGGTGCTAGATGTCATGCTTTAAATTTCCTTGGTATTCTATATGCACACCAAGAAGCAAATAATGAAAGCTTTTTACCCGTGCGTCCTGCATATCGATTTACTAGTTCTGATGTAGTAATATCTTCATTCTTTTTCCATATTAAGATGTGATGACTTTCCCGGAAAGTGCGTCGCCTACTATTATTTTTATCAGTAGCACAATTCAACTTATCACATTTTTATCAACAAAGAACAAACGAATTAATCCAAGTGACTGTATCTGCTGATGAAGTATGCAAAGAAATGGATAGAAGTGGAAACAATATTGAACCAGATAAATAGTGAATATCTACCTAACTATCATCTGCTCCACTGAGATTCATTTCGGTTTGTGTCATTCAGGGTATGCAGCCACTTACTTTCAGCATCTCGAGATTCTCAGTCACAACCCACATTATCTTATTCAACCCAGAATAAAGATTTGCATTTCCATAATTTGATCTTTCGTTTCACCCTAAATCTTCCTAAGACTTACTTCTTGTCCTCAATGTTGGTCTGAGCCGTGTAAGGAGGTACGGAGTACCTGGTTGGGGTCCCCAAGACGATAGGTAGTAATCAGTGATTGAGGGCTGAAAATCAGTCACAATGGTGCAGATTCATTCACACTTTGATGTCTTCTGATGCCTAAATGTCCTGACTAACTTTCATTATCAAGTTGTTGTTCCTCCAATACACCTTTGTCTACTATGATATTAGACTTTTTCCTTCCACTTGTTCTTTCTTCGCTTTTGCGAAGTGTAGCAAGTTGAACCGATGCACTTGTGTGCTATGTCCCATTTTAATTTTATTTGTCTTGAAATGAATTGGATAGTGAATCAGAATTTGAACTGTTCAATGTAGTCAGCACGAAAATAAAAGGAATCAAAGCAATTATCAAAACTATGAACAGGAATAAATATTGGTGAATGATGTGTGTAGTTAGAACAATATATATTACCTTTTTTTTGAAGAAACCAGAAACATGAAGTTATTTTTAATACGGTCTTCAAACTTCAGTTGTTGTGGCTAAGACCTCCACTCAAGATCAGCAGTTTCATAAACCATCTTCATATCTAATTAAGTTAAAGTCTTCCTTCCATATTACATCTGCATGAGGTGAACTATCCATCGAAATAGATGGTTACCAAGATTCAAGAACATATATCCCAGAAGAATCTGACCATTTTCTCAATTTCACCATTGAGAACTCTCCTATTAACTTACATACTACAAATTCAATTGCTGTGAAACACCTGAGAAAATGTATTAATGAACAAAGACATCCACTTGCTTGCTCTTAGTTGATATGCCTTACAACCTAAGTGTTATAATTTATTAGCCCTAGATCAGGTGAATATGTTGTCAGCTATGCAAATACTGTTGGCCGATGACTGTAAGTAAACGGACTCTAGAATAGAAATGACACACACACAGTTTAGACAAGCCATTTATTCAGATAGAGATAACTTTGAACCTTGCATGAAAGGACACCTATTCAGGTTGTTACGTTCTGTGACTTCAAAAAATGTCTGAATGGTAATTAAAATTAATGCGCAGCAATATCGAGGTATTTGCACAGGAGCCCATATGCCAATAGAGACCGACCGATTCAACGACAGAATAATACACCCATCACACAAGATGTGTTTATCGTGACTCGGTAGTCAAGTGAATAACGCTCTGGCATTTAAAGCGATCGATCACGAGTTCCAGTCATACTGGAAACAACATCGCTTACTGGCAGTCAGGTGCATCCAACTGACAAGTCCTAAATGGGGGTATGCACGCATCCTAGATTCCAATGCCAACTCCTATCCATCATTAAAGTAATTAAAATCATCTGAATATGTCGATCAGAAGTAGTCGATTCTTTCAAGCTGTATGAGAAGCATTCCAATCTATGAGAAAGAAAAATACTTCTGCATATTCTGTCTCTCTCCTACACTCTATTCTTACTTCAGAAATTAAAGCATATCAGAGTACAGGATTGCTGAAGTCTTGTTAACAACTCGCCAACTCAGATGTATGTTGTTAGTTACCTACTATTAACAAATAACCATGGACTGAAATCAGATAAGAGAGATTCTTACTCTGGAACTGATTATCAATCCTCATCTACTAGTCAATAACGGATCGATGCTCAGATTGTCGTATCTCTTAGCAGTCTTGTAACCACTAAGCAAATGATTTGCATTTCAATATCTTTTCTTTCCTAAATTCTGTCGATATAAAGTATGTAGTGATCAGGATCCATTTTCATCAATTGGCTTATATGACTTGATTGACTTTACAGTCTATGATGCATGCTAGAATTCCAAAAAAAACCAGACCTTGCAATCTACAAGAAGGTTTGTGAGTCATCGATGAAACAGTATTACTTACCATGAGATGCATCTAATAACCACATTAGCCAAACAGACAGCCAAAATCAAAGCAGAACCTTGAGTACAAGTGCATCACTTCAACTTGGCACACTTCACAACAGTACATGAAAAACAGGTGGATAGGAAAAGTGATATAAAACTATCAAAGCTGTATGAGAGAATGAAGATAACAATCAGTGTAAATATTCAAGTTTTAGAAAGCGTTAAGGAGTGAAAAACACGTCTGTGTTATTGTGACCGATTCTAAACTGTATATCCAAGAGATCCCAAGCACTGATTCATTTCTTCTCAGGGAGCCCAGACCAGATGTCTACAACTCGCTACACGACTGAGACCAAAAATCAGGGACTTCATCGACAGGTGCCACGTCTTAGTCTGACCACCCTGGCCTACCTTTTAACCTAATCCAACTCCCCTTAGGATTGTATTTGGAAGTAAGTTATGGCTCGGCATACGCAATACATGTAGAATACACCTAAAGTCGCAGGAAGTTCACAACCTCATTAACTGACTTGCCTGTTTGACCTAGTGTTCTCTTCACCCGACCTCTACATCACTTACATGGTGATTTCTCTATATGTGAGCAATAATCCAAAGACACCTGTAATATAACAGGACAGAACAAATAACAGTACATTATACTAAGCGGTACAACACTGCTATTGCAGACGGTTGGCAAGGAAATAAGGGAAGGTACCCGCAGATTGGAAGAAGGGCTACCAGATCAAACTTCCAAAGAAGGATAACTTAAGTCTTTACAACAACTAGCTCGTAAATCATGCTACACCTCTGTCCACACCCAGCGAAATACTAAGACGCACCATACTGGAAAGAATTAAACATGCAATGGATTCAAAATTACGACCGGAACAGGCTGGATTCAGGAAGAACAAATCATGTGCGGATCAAACTGCAACACCACGCTACGCATCATCATAGAACAAATCATACAATCGTAGTCAACACTTCACCTCAACTTCATCAACTCTGAAAAGGCTTTCGACAGCGTCAACCGAGGAGTAATTTGACAGGCCGCTGCTTCAACAATACGCTTCTAGTGCCACAAATACTTATCAACCTGATTCAATAGCAGCTATGTGCCATATGACGATGCTACATGCCAAGTGATTCACAAAACAACGGAAAGCTCAGTGATGCCTGTGGAGTGAAGACATGAAGGAGTAAGACAAGTTTGAAGACCACTGTCATCTATCATCTTCCTGATTGTGATCGACTGGACTGGATCATACAGCAAACCGTGAGGAGCGAGAAGACGAGCATACGCTGTTTGAGTGATGAAAAGATCTTAGAGGATTTGGATTGCACCGATGATGATTCACGTCTAATATCTTGTCACACACACACTCGAAGATCTACAGGTGAAATCCAACAAGTTGACAGAAGAGGTGGGGTGAGGCGAGGCGAGGCGACGCAGAGCAGGGTAGAGCAGGGCAGGACAGCGAAGACGGGACTTCAGGTGGACAGAGAGAAGACAAAGGTGATGAAGATATCCAACCAAAAACAACAACAACAACAACAACAGCAACAACACCAAACACCATGAACGGGAGAGGTCTGAAGGAAGTAGTCTCCTCCACCTACCTACCTGCATAAGCAGCATCATGTCAACTACAGGTGGCACAGGCACAGATGAGGACGTCAAAGACAGCCACGATCCAAGAGACACCAAAACAAGCCTTCCCTCATCAGTGTGAACTAAACAGTGTGGAGATCTACTGCACTCCACTGCATTACACTGCACTGCACCGCACTACACTCAGCATAAAGCCTGAACAACATCTGTATTTTCAACACTAATTCAGTCAAGTCAATCAAGTCAGTGCTTCTATGTGATGGTTGAGAGACTCGTCGCATTACGAGAAGCACTCACAACAAACTACAGACAAACATCATCAACTGCTTCAGTCTACGCTGACTCGATATTGAAGATCAAATCAGAAGACCAGAAAGAATAAGCGAGGAGGAACTCTGGTTGGCTGGCTGGCTGGCTGTCCAACTGGCCAGCAACGAACCAACGAAGCAAGAACCTATCGCCCAACTAATATGCAGAAGAAGGAAGTGGAGATGGATTGGATTGGGCACACACTGAGAAGACCGATTGGGGACATCACGTGCCACGTGAATCTGTCGAGTGCGAGCCGAATGGGGAACGATGAGTTGGGTGTTCTAGTCGAGGGTGACATGGAGGAGATGGTGTGAGGAGGAAATGAAAGGTTATGGGCAGTTGTGGAGCCAGATTGAGAATAATGTAGAGAAGAGGAGATAGTGAAATGGTGACGTGCTACTGAAGCCCTACTATGTCCGACTAGGAACCCAAAGGAAAAATAATAATAAAAATAATACTCATCCTTTACTAGGTAGGCGGAAATCTCACCAGTCTACGCCACAGATGACTCAGACTGATAAATGCTGAATAGCCCTTCTCTGCCTTAACTGAGAATTTATCAGCAACCAGCGCGGTCGAACTGATGCAACTATCCAATTAGGTGAACTAGCCGACGCATTCCACCACTTCTCTCTATCATTAAGCCAAGAGTGCTTTGAGACCAGTTCTGAAGCATCATCTTGCTCTTGGAAGGTGTAAAACGCATGCCAAACATACTCAAACTAACCAAGTATTTACCTTGCAAATCTTTCAACTCCATCGGTAGGGTGAAACGAGTGTTATACATTCGGACTGAATTTCGATCATGATCATCATGGCCAAGACGGTAGCTTACCCACTGTAAAAAAAGAGTACAATATAACCATTATACTCGAATGAATATTACCGAGAATTCTTGAATCTTATATGCTTAGTACTCTTCTAAATGTAGTTTTTTTCATACCTACATGATGTGTTTGTCTTCTTTTTATGAGATTCTAAGTTTATTCAGCTTGCCATAAGTTCTGCTAACTTCATGTCATGGGATAAGAAAACCTAGATAACAGGAAGTTGGTTACTTTCTAGTGACCAGTCAGTACACCTCATCTAGTCCCACAGGAAGTCAGTCGCAGGTCTAATGGCTCAGTGTTAACGTCTAACACTGGGTGGGATGGGTTCGAATTGCACAGTGGGACATTAATTTCGTCGAGGTTGAAGACCCGCCTTGCTGAGAGAAACCTAGGTTCAGGGCTTCCTACAGATTATCTCCATTCAGCCATCATCTATCTTACTGTGACTTCGATTTTACACAGAATGATTAGTAAAGAACCTAATGACAAACAGCAGAATTACTTTTCTAATATTATCCTGGTTTCCGGTAAAACATTACCCTTTTGATGACGCCTCAGTTGACTGGTTGCTACTAATTACTGTCTGCACATTGTGTTGCAGTACTACTAATAATGATTTCAACTGAAAATGAAAACCAACCTCATTAAATCGATCGTGAACTTTGAGTGACTTTGATAGCCACCCTAGCAACTGATGAAATAACCAATCACGCCTCTCAATTCTATGAAAAATTATCTTCCCAGCCAATATACTATAACCTAACTGGTTATTCTGGCAGTTGTTAGAGTGGCCTTTAAAAGTGCTTGTGAACTTCAGGTGTGAAATTATCAGGTGAGTTAGCTGCCATGCTTCGAAAGAGTCTGGTGTGAAATACTTGATTGTTGCTCTAAACGTTAGTCGTAGGGCAAATTACACTGTCTTGGTAAAATGTGAAAGCTTCACAATAAATGCAGCTCGTACAAACCTTTTCTATATTCTAAATTTTAGATAAGTTGATCTCCAGTTTATACTGCTTCCTCACTTTTCCTTCATATTTACTTTTTATGTTTTTCGTTTCCTTCTTCAGAACCTGTGATTGGATGAATAACTCTACCTGCTATTCCCAATGACATCATGCTATATGCTACTTAAATGTGCTCACATAAATAGTAAACATCAAAAAAGCATCATACGGGGTCCTAACTTTGGACAAACAAATAATCTACCTGTTTTAGAGAATATCTGGGTTATTTATTTCGGTGACTCTATATTCTGGGATGTAGTGGACTAAGAATTACCACAAGTCTCCAAGTATCAATGGTGATGAAGATTTTACAAAGCATTAGGGCTGAAAACTATCTTACATGTTACCAGTATATTTCCCCATTATAATCATTACAGATGAGGTTTGAGCAACCTACTACTTTCTGCCATACCTCTATTATGACTGAATCCAAGGTATTGTGATCATGAAGAATTAAGGTTACATGGAGAATTGTAGACATGTTTATGCAAATGTATATGACTCATGTTTGAATCGGTGAAAAGTAAGTCTTCTCATGGTTTTGTGTACGCTGGATTGATGAAAGCCGACAAACGCAAAACTTCCGTCAAGAGTCGTTTCCTGCTACTTAACCCCTAGAATATAAACCGTATACATTTATGCACATAATTCTTGAGGTACAGATTAGATTTACATTCATATGTCAGTGCAACACTCATAAACTGTGTATACTTAATTTAATACAAGCTAATGTACTTTGCAAACTATTTTGATACAATGTATTAGTCTTTCTTTTTAGTCAGTTTTTGTAGGACTGCTTGGATTGCCTGTCTACAATGTACAGGGACTAATTAGGTCCGATAGTATGTGGTTAAGCTTCATTAAGGTTGTTTTCAGATTAACAGATTTATTTCCAAATACTGTCTTCGGCAGCTGGAACATACCTAAAGTCTCTCACTTCAAGACTTCTCACTCTAAAAAAGAACGGAAGAAATGGCGACACAGTTAACCTACAAGAAGAATCAATGTCTCTGATTGGTATCTTAAAAGTCGCTCTAAACAATGACTTGCGTTACTATCAGATGTGACCTGGAATCAAAATCATTTACAGTCCTGCTACACTTTCCTTTTTGACATAGAAGTACTGAAGGTTATTGGCCGAATACTTCATGGTTAGCCTAAAATATAACATACTGCTCCCAACAATCAGTCATCTTCAGGTGTACAAAAAGTGCATGAACGATACCTTAATTGTTTGCCACGACAACCTAAATCTAATACGCCTCCTTCAAAATTTCAACGACAGCCACCCTTCAGTCAAATTTACATTAAAGGCTGAACCAAGCTTGAAGTTTCATTTCCTCGATATCAAACTCCAGAGAAAGCCTGATAATTCCATCCATAGATCTATCTATAGAAAGCCCACTTGGAACGGATAACTGACCAACTTTCAAAGTGTTGTAGGAAGAAGAAAGAAAGATATGCAGTGGTGATACAGGTGTTTCAAACTAGAAACCCTCCAAGAAATATTGTTAGAGAATGGCTACCCATCCAGATTTATTGCGAAAAATACGAAAGACAGGAAGACTGTGGAACAGACAGCTCAGAAGAAAATACTTCTAATCAATTTAAGTTTTTAAGGTGATATTGCTACAGACATCCTTCGTCAAAGTTTGTCAAAGTCACTAAGTAGAACGTTCTCCGTAGTGCGTTCTCATGTCAACAGATGATTTATCAGTGTGTGAGAGATAAGCTGGTTCATTGGGCTTCACAAATTTATCTTTAGAAGTTCACTTGTTACTTACTATAAAGGTGAATATATCGGTCATACTATGGACTCGCTTGAGAAACGAGCTCATGAACAGCCTAGCTGCTGAAGGATAAGCAAAAAACCCTGTCCAGCTGCATTTCCTGCACCACCTGCTTTCTCTGGAAACCTCCTTTTTGAAGTTCTGTATAAAATTTCACCTAAACGACCAAAAGGGTTGAGAATTAGACACTTATGTGCAGCAAAAGCTTTGACCATTCTCAGCCTGAAACCACAATTGTGTATTTTTAGAAGAAACATGTACAAATACTCTCTTTATCATGGCCTTAATCAGGTACTCTAAGCCTTTGTTTATACTTTATGTTGTATTTCATTCATTTATTTATATTTTACATGTTTATTCATTTATTTTTACTAGATACAAAATCTTACTGTTCACCGCATTTTATTAAAACTGTTGAGATCACATCTTGTGTTACATAATATTATTTCGTTCACTACATAGACCTTTCGATTAAGTTTGATCTTTGACCGGAAATATTTGAAACATTCTCTTATTTGTAACTTATACGTAACTAATCTGTCATCTATCCAGGTGTCTATTATCGACAAAGAAATTTCGTCTCTTGGATTTAACTTTTCTGTCCCACAAACAAACATTTCCGGATCGAAGATTTATGCTCAGTTTGAATATCTTTATCATCAACTGAGTTCACTTGTTCCAACTTCCTCTGAAAATCAAAGTTGGCTGAAAGCCAAATTTGTGAATATCGCACATGATGTCGGTAGCTCTGGTTTCAAACAGAGTAGCATCCTGACTTCTCAGCATTTCAGTGAATTGAAAAGACTACAGAATAGAAATGACAAAGTCATTCTTAAACCAAATAAGGGATCTGGCGTAGTTGTTTTGAAGATGCAGGATTATAAGGACGAAATACTGTGAATTCTCAATGACAGTAGCAAATTCGTAAAGGACTGTCCGACAGAAGACATCAGAAAGTTAGGAAGAGAATTAACTGCAATTTTAGTATAACTCCTTAACACGAATGTCATTAACAAAGAAGAATTTCATTTGTTAAAACCTGTAGGGTGTGAGCACGCGAACTTATATAGTTTACGCAAGATAAATAAAGCGAATATCCTACTACTTCCATTACTACTTATGTATCGCTCCCCAAAGCATAAATTGGTAGTGTCTAGCCTAGTTAGAAACCAATTATGTAAGTTTGCATGGAAAGATACTTTTGAACATACTGACTTACCAGAATGACATTAATATCAAAGATAAGACAGTGTATTCTTTTGATGTAAACTCGTGATTCACCAACGTGTCTTTAACCAAGACTGTTGAAATTCTTTGTGATTATACATCCTTGAATATTCCTTTTCTTCCCATCCCTCCAAAATATTTGAAAGAGCTATTACAACAGTGCACCGATAGGGTTCACTTCACTTTCGATGGTGAACATTTTTAACAAGTTGATGATGTCCTCATAGGCAGCCCTTTAGGAATATTGTTAGCTGATGTCTATGAGTCACATGTAAACCCTTTGACTGAGGATGTTATCAGCAATGTCCCTCTGTACAGAAAATGGGTCGATGATATCTTAGTTATATTTAACAAAGGTGAGGATACGAAAAGTCTTCTAGATCGACATAACACCGTACAAAGTCACATTAATTTATCATGTGAAGCTGAAAATAATAACCACTTTTCTTTTCTTGACGTATTACTAACTAGGAGAAAGGATGGGTTGATAGGAAGATCAGTGTATAGAAACCTTGCGTGAACTGGACAGTACCTTAACTTCCACTGTTTCTGTCCAATACATTACAAATGAGGTTTAGTAAAAAACTTACCCAAAAGAACCCAATGCATCTGCACAACATATACATTGAAAGAATTTGAATTTTCAACAGAGACACTCATGGAAAACGCATATCCTTTGAAATTCATCAATCATTACAAAAACGTCTCAAAGGTGAGAACTAATCAATGTACAGCTATAAGAAATGACTCGTCGAAAAGATAATTATCTTCGCTGTGACCTCTTTTTGTTTTTCTAGATGGATCTGAGTTTTGTTTTAATCATCCTATTACTTCTTATTTTAGCTTCCTTCATAATTTCATACATTGGTTAAATTATTTCTTACTGAGGATTTTTTCGATTTCAATGTTGTACGGAGGTCACTTTACAACAAACAACTCAACAAGTACTTCCATCCTTTCCTCTTACCAGATATCAGAAATCATTTAGTGGTGTATAAACTAAATGAGAGACTGGAGCATTCATCACAGACTGACACCAGTTGGAGAATCATTGAACACCTGGAAGCACTGGACAGCCGTTTCATCTTAGTATGGGAATTAGCAGTAATCAGCCAAGACCCGGAGGGGGATCGAACTCGAGACTGTCAGGTTTTATGGCAAACGCGTTAACCATTCAGCTTTGGGTTGGAGTTAAATGACCCACAGTTTCCTACTTCTGTCAATTATACTTAGAAATTAAGCTGATGTTCATCTCTCCTTATTTATTTGTTAAAACCGTAAGTTAGTGAAACACCTTATTCAATTCTGAAGTTCGTTATTAGCGCAAGCAGCTAGGCATCCATTTTGGAAAAAATCTATCTCAATAGTCAATAAGCAATTTTCATGAGTTATTACGGAGAAAGATTAGAGGGAATGTTTAGCGTTCTACTTATAAATTAAAGCTCCTGGAAATGACCTAATTAGATATAATGACAGTAAATCGCATTATATGTGAAGGCGATTTAGTAATACATAGCATACGTCACCTACCTTTATCTGTGGGTTGTTAAAGTTGAACACATTCGCTTCCAAACCTATAGACTTTGAGTTAGGTACCGTGCTAATGAACTCAAGCCCCAAGTTCTTCAATGTTCTGTTGTCTTTGCTACCCAGCCAACTGTCTATCTATGCATCATCACACCACTTGCAATCTCCAAATTTCTCACATAAAAAGCAACAACAATCAAAACTAACCAATTATTTACCTCTTTCCACCGATTTGTATAAAAATGCATACAGTCTTCTAAGCCAGTCTGCCAAATCTCTGGTTGTATATGATCCATCATGGCACCATAAACTTTATTCGTTTCTAAGAGAATATTCATACTTTGTTGATCCAATGCATAGTTTTCTGCTTGTTTAGTTCGATAAATTTCCAGCATAGCAATACGTTCTGGTGTTAGATTAGAAAAATCTTTTTTCATTCTTTTTAACGGTGGTAACGTTTTCTGTATATATTCACAACAACTGAGTATATTCTCATTTAGTGTCTCTGAACTGGTACTTGGAACATCCTTGTAGTTCTTATTCCGAAAGAAGACAGGAAATGATTAAAATTGAAATGTGATCAAAGAAAAATCTTAATGTCAGTCTTTTGTTATTCACGGCAGAAAATTTGATTGGCTGACCTTGAACATTTAAAACATTTGAAGACATTTTATTCATCATCTTTTTAAATTTAGTAATGACTTAGAAAGTCATCCTAACAACTATTGAAGTAGCCAGCGTCACACAGCAGGCCAAGTCATAGAGTGGGAGCCAAGTGGGAAACTATGAGTTGGGTGTCCTAGCTAAGGGTGACATGGAGGAGATGGTGTGAGGAGGAAATGAAAGGTTATGGTCAGTTGTGGAGCCAGGTTGATAATATTGTAGAGAAGAGGAGATAGTGAAATGGTGACGTGCTACTTAAGCCCTATGTTCTACTAGGAAGCCAAGGGACAAATAAAAATAAAAAATAATAGTAGAACTCGTATGTCGAGAAAAATCCTAAACTTATCGGTTATCATAGATCCACATTTTATCTCTGAAACAAGGAGGTGCATCATTTAGCATCCCTAATTTCCCATGGTTCATCCACTAATATACGGCCAATGAGAAGAACATAAGTATGTTCCAGAGTGGAGATCAGACACGTGACTATCCTGATGCAGTAATCTCTTATGAGGAGAAAATACTCATAATCAGTAGGTCTCTAGCTACTTAAAAATTGGAAATTCATAAACAGCAGCAGTCCGCACACATAAAGTCAAGGAGCAAACATTGTGTGAAGCTCCTACAGAGACTGTTATGGAAATGTTGTTTTACGATTAACATGACCACTGCAGATGTTGACAAAATTTCGGGATTTTTCAATGAAATTTTATCCCCACTACCAAGGAGTGTATGAACCTTATTGAGAGTCAGCGTGACATGTATGTACTGGGACATAGCCAGATGAATTTATTATCACATTGAAGAGAAAGAGAATTTTATTCACTTCATAGATCACTAGTCTTTTGAAGAGATTCAGTCACAACTGAACTTTGATTAACTGTCGATCGCCAGAAGTTATGCTCAAAAGTTGTGGTCAACTCCTGACAGGATAACAACTCTTTTTGTAAGTGACGTATTCATTATTGAAGTTTACAGTGGAAGTGAAAAGCCTACTTATTTCAACAAAATATCTAAGCATTTAGTGAGAAAGGTTCAAGACACCGATATCAGTGGTTTACTGATTGACGTGGAAGTTTGCTGCAGTTATTTGTAACCCACTGACTTGCTCAGATATCAAACAAATAGTTGGTCATGATGGCAAAATGGCTTATGACAACTACTTTGTTGAACTGATTTACACTTCCCTCAAACCAATGAGATTAACCACGTTCAACTAACTGGTTTTGCACAAGTTGATGATAGGTAAGTTATAATTTACACACTATTTTCTTCTATCCGTCATCATTAGTAGATTTGGGTACATATGGATATCAGGAAAGGATATGGAAATTTTGACCAGCACAACCATTATGACTTGTGAGATGTAGTGGGATAGGCGTAATGGTGTGAAGAATGTTGCTAGCTGAACACGGTTATTGAATATGAAGAACATTAGGCTTCAGTATGCTTATTAGAGCAGAGACATCAAGACAGGATCAGCAGGGGTTAAAAGGAAAACAAAGTTATCAGTTGGGAAATATTCGGGATTTTGTGCTTCCCCCCCCCCTTCCTGCACTCTATTTCCCCCTCATTTACACTTCATGATCAGTTTAGGTATATTAAATAGAAATGTTTAAACTTCACCGTTATTATATTTTAAACATTAAACGACTTCATTTAAATTACCATGTTATTGAATGGTTTTCACAGAATTTTATCTGTTTCTCAAATTAAATTCTTGTCAGTGAGCTATGTGGCGCCTAGAAAGTAAAGAAATACACAAAAATTAATTGTCAACATTTAGGAAAGAAATATGAAAGTCCAATAATAATTCATATTGGTTTCTTTTCTTGATACCTAATTATCTTGACTAAACTCAATACTACCTGTAATCCATGTACTCAAATAAGTACTGTGCCAGTCTTCGTTTACCTTGGCGAATCCAATCTCCTAACTTTACAAATACAGAATTGCATAACTTTATGTACATTATTTTTATTATTTTTCCTTTGGGTTCCTAGTCGGACATAGTAGGGCTTCAGTAGCACGTCACCATTTCACTATCTCCTCTTCTCTACATTATTCTCAATCTGGCTCCACAACTGCCCATAACCTTTCATTTCCTCCTCACACCATCTCCTCCATGTCACCCTCGACTAGAACACCCAACTCATCGTTCCCCATTCGGCTCGCACTCGACAGATTCACGTGGCACGTGATGTCCCCAATCGGTCTTCTCAGTGTGTGCCCAATCCAATCCATCTCCACTTCCTTCTTCTGCATATTAGTTGGGCGATAGGTTCTTGCTTCGTTGGTTCGTTGCTGGCCAGTTGGACAGCCAGCCAGCCAGCCAACCAGAGTTCCTCCTCGCTTATTCTTTCTGGTCTTCTGATTTGATCTTCAATATCGAGTCAGCGTAGACTGAAGCAGTTGATGATGTTTGTCTGTAGTTTGTTGTGAGTGCTTCTCGTAATGCGACGAGTCTCTCAACCATCACATAGAAGCACTGACTTGATTGACTTGACTGAATTAGTGTTGAAAATACAGATGTTGTTCAGGCTTTATGCTGAGTGTAGTGCGGTGCAGTGCAGTGTAATGCAGTGGAGTGCAGTGGAGTGCAGTAGATCTCCACACTGTTTAGTTCACACTGATGAGGGAAGGCTTGTTTTGGTGTCTCTTGGATCGTGGCTGTCTTTGACGTCCTCATCTGTGCCTGTGCCACCTGTAGTTGACATGATGCTGCTTATGCAGGTAGGTAGGTGGAGGAGACTACTTCCTTCAGACCTCTCCCGTTCATGGTGTTTGGTGTTGTTGCTGTTGTTGTTGTTGTTGTTGTTTTTGGTTGGATATCTTCATCACCTTTGTCTTCTCTCTGTCCACCTGAAGTCCCGTCTTCGCTGTCCTGCCCTGCTCTACCCTGCTCTGCGTCGCCTCGCCTCGCCTCACCCCACCTCTTCTGTCAACTTGTTGGATTTCACCTGTAGATCTTCGAGTGTGTGTGTGACAAGATATTAGACGTGAATCATCATCGGTGCAATCCAAATCCTCTAAGATCTTTTCATCACTCAAACAGCGTATGCTCGTCTTCTCGCTCCTCACGGTTTGCTGTATGATCCAGTCCAGTCGATCACAATCAGGAAGATGATAGATGACAGTGGTCTTCAAACTTGTCTTACTCCTTCATGTCTTCACTCCACAGGCATCACTGAGCTTTCCGTTGTTTTGTGAATCACTTGGCATGTAGCATCGTCATATGGCACATAGCTGCTATTGAATCAGGTTGATAAGTATTTGTGGCACTAGAAGCGCATTGTTGAAGCAGCTGCTTGTCAAATTACTCCTCGGTTGACGCTGTCGAAAGCCTTTTCAGAGTTGATGAAGTTGAGGTGAAGTGTTGACTACGATTGTATGATTTGTTCTATGATGATGCGTAGCGTGGTGTGGCAATTTGATCCGCACATGATTTGTTCTTCCTGAATCCAGTGCATCTTTCAGTCTTTCCAGTATGATGCGGCTTAATATTTAGCTCTGCAAGGACAAGTAAACTGATAAAAGCAAGCTGTGATGACCAGGAGCGATAATGTGTTCTCAATGTAGTGATGGATTAATTATCAACTAGAAAGTGAGATTCTCAGCCTGGCTGGGTGAAATATCTTTCTCACTGATCTTGGGAAGAGATTTTTGGGAGTTTCACCTTCAATTCTATTTCTGAATTCTAGGTTCACGTAGAGACTTTTCTTTAAGATACAGCGAAGTACGTTTTCTGCATATAGTTTTTTGAAACATTTTGCAGCTTAATCATCCAAAGAGAAGGAGAGAGAGAAGATACTGGCTGTCTTTTTTTAACTCTTAGTCATCTCAAAACATCCAACACCTTCTAACCGTTCCTTCAAATTAATTTACCGGAGTCCTTTTAACATTCCCAAAGTCATTCAAAAGTATGAGCTTAACACAGTCGAGCCATTCACAATTCCCGTGGTCGAACCCGATCATTGGGTTCGAAAACATAACGTGTTGTCATTAGTCTAATTATATACTGTTTAGCAATTTCGTTCTTTCTTTGGAAACGTTTTATCCCCTTCTTGCACACCACAGAAATCAGGTGACCATTTTGATTAATAGTAGGCTGTTATCTGCGCTAAATTTTGAACTGACAGAGTTAGGGGAAATGTGAACTGTTGCATTCCAAATCAGCCGTTCTGTGATGATGTGCTCGGTACGCAACATGTGAGGGAAGGTCATGGGTGCCCAATGTTGAGGAGTCGAGGACTGGAGCAAAACAAACGTTCAGTGCTCCACTGTTTTAAGTGGATCTCTAACTGTTGTTATCTAGTGATGAATAACAACATGAGATCAATAAATAAATCCCTACAAACCTCCAAATCGAGCTTTAAATAAGATTGTACAACTTTAGTAAATGAAACCATCGAAAAAAGTTTTCTACTTTGCTAAGTCTTTGTGGTAGGAAATTAACTTTCACCTTATTTATTATGACTACCTGGGACTACATATTAGCTACATAATATCAGCTTTGTTATTTATGCAGTTCATTCCTACAAAACCTTCGATAGAGTTGGAAATGAAACAAGGTTAAGTTGTTGACTAGTTGTACTTGCTAGATTTGGATAAAAACGTGTTTTATCAATTAATTTCCGCAATGTAGAGACACATGGCAAGGTTAATTGATCCACCTTCATCATTACTTAGCATGTAAGGAAATTCCCGAAGGTAATTCAGTCTTACTTGTGTTATTTGTGACTAGAATATCTTAGTGATAAAATCTTTAACTTCAACACAGTAACTACGTTATCACAATTTCTAAATCTGAACCGTACTGCCTCTTCACCATCATTTTCGAATGTATCTTTATGTGTATTTTTGTTTCACCTAGCTGCTCGTCACTAGCTGAAATTCTGATTTATTTTAATCTATGCGCAGTTGCTTTCAGAAAGCCATTTTGTCGTACAATGTCCGATACAATTATTCTGAAATTATTAACACCGTCTAAGCTAGCCATCTTCAACTTTAGGATACTGGTGTAGACAGGTTTAGCTATGGCTCTTGAAAGCCTTGTTGTCGACTTGGAGACCCGAATAAAAGATCTCAGTGAAGTGCTTCAAATGAATTTTCTGTCTATCAGCCAAAAATAGTTTACTTAGAAAGGGTTTATTAGGTCACGCTCTGACATCAGGAGTCAGTTTCACTGGTATTGGTTTCACACCAAAGCTGCATTTGTCGGCTGGATACCCATCAACAGTTGTGTGTGTGCTGTTGGGCTAAATGTTTTGATTGGAGTGATAAGCAACAGGCCAGGAAAGTGATATCTCTTCGTCACCTGCATTCATGCCCACACTAACTGCCGTCATGGTGCAATTAAGGATGTTTTCTACCGGTCAGCTAAGTAACATTCTCTACCAGAAGCGCTCAACACATAATGCAGTGCTAATTATTAACTTGAATGCACGGGTTGGGCGTCTAGACTCGGAGGTGGGTCTATTGGGCGGCCAAAGAAAATTAGTCAGTTGCAGATCAGATAATGGGAAGGGTTTTCAGAAATTTTATGTGGACAAAAAGCCATCTTCTAGTGAGCTTCAGCTTTCAGTGTAACCATCGTCGTTATGCTACTTGGCATCCTTTCTGTGTCATTAAAATCTGGACTCAAATAGATCACATTCCAATCGGCTACAGATGGCGTGGGTGTATTATCAGTTGCGGCTTTTTTTGAAGCACCTATCTGGATCCTAATCACAATTTAGTGTGTGCTAAATTCTTCTTGATGTTCGGTAGTCGTCAAAAACGTCGTCCGAAATGCTTAGATATAGGTAAACTGGTTGCAGTTATTACTGCAACTAAACACGAAATCGAGCTTTTGAGCCTCCAAAAAGTATATACGAGCATTGGCTGCGCTTGTAAGATGTCATATTAGTTCTGAGTACAGCTGCTTGTACTTTAAAAAGACGTCTTGCAATCATACAACGAGTCTTTGTGAGATTCTACAACTTCTTGACACTGTTATGTCTCTCAGCGAGCTCCTAGTACAGTGATGTGTAAAAGTCCCATACGTGGAAGATCACGAGGCATCTACCTGAGGAGATTGGGAGGTCTGCTGGTTAGAAAGTGACAGTGGCATGGATACATCAGATGTGTCTGACAGTAGTCGGAAATCATTTCAGCCGATTCAAGTCACCAATAGTAAGAATTTTGTTGCCATCGGGATGACATGTGCAGTAGCCGATACTTTCGATCCACAGTATACTGAGATATCTGGATTGGTGGGACGACTACTTCAAAAGGCAGTTCACCTGGTCTACTTCTCCAGCGGAATCGATCCTACTGTCATATGCTCCATGGTCAGTTAAAGTCCATCTATCTCGAAAGTGAAGGTCCGCACTGAACTCCAAGTTCCAAAGCTTAATAAGACACCTAGTCTAGATAACTTACCCCTCTTCTTTAAGCAAGTTGAGTTAAGAATATGGACAAAGGGATAGCTAAATTGCTTGAAAGGTATGACCGATTAAGACTGTTCAATCATCCCAGAATAAGGCCACTATTTCACTTATCGTCCAAAAATGTCTGTGCGATAAGTGCGATAATCATCAGGATATCAGTCTACTGCTAGCCGTGTCCAAAATATTGACTGCTATCGTGATTCCCAGGCTATTCAAAAAGCGCGAAAAAATGCACCATGT